ACCAATGTAAACCATGTTTGTTGTTTGTTTGAAAGTTAGTCTTTAAACTTCATTTCCTTGTATAAGGAGGTTTATGGACACATCTTTTTAAAATATCTCAAGTTTAGTAGATACTCTCGTCAAGAATTCTTGGGGACTGGAGTAAGTCAATTTAGGCTGAACATGTATAAATATTTGGGGTCTTTCTCTTTCCCTTATCTCTTTTACTTTTCAGTTATTTTCTTTCCTTCGGTTTTCCACAACTTCTTTACTTGTTTGATTTTAATAATCTTTGAGAAGCCTTTCTTATTTTAGTAAAACTACTTGAAACTTTTTTAAGGCATTGCTAACTTATTAGAGGATTGTCTATTAATTAGAAGATTCTTCTAAACTATCTAATTAATTAGTTTTAATCCTCTAATCGATTATGACACTTGGTTGAGTCTAAAATCTATCTGTCTATCTATCTGTCTATCTATCTGTCTATCTATCTATCTATCTATCTATCTATCTATCTATCTATCTATCTCTCTATCTATCTGTCTATCTATCTATCTATCTATCTATTTATCTATCTATCTATCTCTCTATCTATCTCTCTATCTATCTATCTATCTATCTATCTATCTATCTATCTATCTATCTATCTATCTATTTATCTATCTATCTGTCTATCTATCTGTCTATCTATCTGTCTATCTATCTATCTATCTATCTATCTATCTATATATATATATATATATATATATATATATATATATATATATATATATATATATATATATATATATATATATATATATATATATATATATATATATATATATATATATATATATATATATATATATATATCTACTTTAAACAAAGTCATATTCAAGGATTGTTCTTTCCACGTGACTCATATGTTTTTCTAATGCTGATATGATAGGGTGTATCGAGACTAGAAAATCCATCTTAGATCAAGGCTTTTACTTAGGTAAGTCGTTGATTTTGTGGTGCACAAAATAGCAATTAACTATGTACAGGTCATCTTCAGAATCTTAATATCGTTCATTAGCCACTGCAATTTATGAATTGGAATGGTTGCCAACTTGCTTGGAGATTTGCAAACATCACAACCAAACCACCAATCTTGTATTGTGATAACACTACTACAGAAAAGGAATTTAACAACGATTGAGAAAGATATATAACCATGCGGGACCAAGTGTTGTTATGTAATTGTGGTTGTATATGCGATACTTACAATTACGGTCTTGTGACCGTCGTAGTAAAATGGAAAATACAATCTTATAATAACGGTTATTCATATTAACCATTGTGATATTGTATATGAACAAATGTCAAATTTCCATACCAGAATCAGCACTAAACTAATTTTTAATTGATATCAAAACTTAGATTACAATTACACATGCAATTCTATTAAGTAAATAATAAAATTTGAACAACTCGAGGTATGCAATCTTTCCAACTTTTAAGAGAAAAGAAAGCATATTGAATTAAAGAAATAATGATGAGTAGCTTTGGTTTTTAAACTTCTAAGATAAGAAGATGAAGAATCATAAGGAACAACATAAAAGCGGAAGAACCAAGACTAAAAAATAACTTCATCTAAAGGAATCAACATGTGCTATCCTTCTTTAGCCACCAACAATGTTGAGAATCCAAATTTTGTTGTAGAGGGTGTTGTGGTGCAAAATTAAGCTCAAAATCAAGATGTTGTTGTAGAGTGTGTTATGGTGTAAAACCATCCTCAGATTCAAAATGTTATTGTAGAGAGTGTTGTGTTTAGACTAATGAGAGCTCTCAGGGTAAGGAGAAGAAGAAGAAGAAGAAGAAGAAGATGAGGGTTGAGAATATAAATGATAATTTTTATCGATTTTGATGATGATGATGAGGCTGACTATGATTGGTCTAACTTTACCTCAACGAGAGGATTTAGATTTGATTATGGTTTTTAATCATGAAATTAAAGGCATGTGGAATGAAGTTTTAATCTGCTTAACTCTCTTAAGGTTATCAACTTAAACATTCAACTTAACCTATCAACTTAAAGTACAAAATATATAAAACACATTACTGTAACTGAAAATTATTGCGATGAACTTACTTATAAGAAACCACCTGTTAGTTGCATATTCCTGTCAAGTCCACTGCATCTTCGACTATTACATTTTATAACAAAGTAAATATTAAACATAAAGGATATAAGATAACATAACATTTTCAAATTTCAAACCTTAATTCAACTATTACATTTTATAACAAAGTAAATATTAAACATAAAGGAAATAATAAAACATAACATCTTTAAATTTCCAGAAAATCTCTCTGACTTCAGCTTGTTCTTCAAATTCTTGTTCTTCTTTTTTGAATATGTATACATAACCTTCAAATATCCAACAAACTTCAACTTTGGCATCATACTACTCTCATCTTCCAATTTTTGTTCATCGTCCCATATGAATAAATTACATGTTTCACCACTCCACTAATTTGGACATCTCCAAAAAAGTTTTCCTTTATTTTGATCCTTCTTGCATTGATACGAAATCATACGACTGTCACAACCACGGAAATTTCCAGATCGAGATTTTACATCTTTGGATGAGTTACTCTTCAAATACAACATTGAGACGAAATTGAACAACAACGATGAGTGTGGTGTTAAGGTTGTTTTTCTTATTTCCGACGATGTCGACCGCGTTGGTGTTAGGGTTGTTTCTTTTATCAGTGGAAGAATGAATACTTAGTGTTTAATATATATAAAGAATCGCTAGTGTGTAATAACAGTTGTATAAAAGAGTCGTAGTGATATCCCTATTATTTTTTAATTATATATAAATATAATTGAAGGTGTGCATTAACATAAAAAAGGATAAACTATTTGAGGGACCTTAAGATCAAATCCAGGAAAGTTGGATTGTATCACCACGATTAGATAATTAACCGTAATTATAACCTTAAATTTTTAATTAAAAAATAAAAAATATTAGTGCGTTAGTTTAACAGTGTCACTACGATTTTGGGACGAACTATGGTGACTTTGACACTGTTGTATGCGTGTTTTATAGTAGTGTAATTTCAGTGTCATCCATATACTTGTCAACCTCGTGTTTCACGAACGCACTAAGCATCTAAAAATGGATTGCCAACTTGTTCTTGAGAAACTTTAAAATAGTCTATTCAAGCTCTTGTCAATTTCATCTAAAGACCAAGTAGTCGAGAGAAACTGTTAGACTTCTTTATTGCGTTGCGAAGAGAGATCGAAAACGAAGATTTTATGACGCAGTGCGGGCACTGGATGGAATGGGTTCTTGATTCTGATCACCCATTCTTGAAGAAGCTTTCTCTCTCTTTTGGTTGGTTTATCTGATAAAATTTTGATCTTCTGAGTCAATACAATCATATCTTTAGCTTCTGTGGATGCTGTTTCTCGGGGACATAGCCGACCGATGCACTCCCCATCCAGCAGAAAGAGAGGGGAACGCAGCCCCCGCCGCCATATGAGTCGGATACTATTATAGTTTTACTCTTGTGGGAAATTCAAGATGTCTTTTTTTGTTTTGGCGATGCTTTCGGCTACTGGACTTTCACCATCTAGGGTGCAACATTCGACTGCTTCGCCTAGCAGCACAACGCTTGTATTGCTCTCCCACAACCCCGTTTTCACGGTTTAGGCTGCTCCCATTTCGCTCGCCGCTACTACGGGAATCGCTTTTGCTTTCTTTTCCTCTGGCTACTAAGATGTTTCAGTTCGCCAGTATCCTCCAACTTATGAGGGGCTATCACACAACAATGAACAACTAGAAGTTACAAGTTAGTTAGGCACTAACTAACTTGATTAAAACACTTACCTAAAATAACCAAATAGTTAGTTACTTCTTAGTTAAATTTTTCTAATATAGAAAATGAGAATTTATCCAATATGGTTAGCACTAACATAATTATCATGGAGTAGTCTCACTCATGTATAAATAAGTCTTGTACCTATATTTCACATTTTAATGAAAAATTTACACTTTACTCGTAATGTAATAGGTAAGCTAGCTATTATGGTAAGCATCGCACTGGTTAATGAAAATGCTGGTTGATCCAATCCAAAGTGTGTTGGTCCATCTTCCAGCCATCTCTAACTTCTCTCTACGGGTCAAAGTTTAGGGTTGCTCTAAAAATGCCAATAGAAAACAATATTGCAATGGTTCATTAATGTCAATGAAAATAAAGACTAATTTAAAATAATACTAGCATTAACGTTGTTTTTAATACAGAAATAACATTAACGTTATGACGGAATAACATGTCACATACTTTTATTTGTGTATGCTAGATGAGTGGTAGGAAAATTTTGCAATGTTTTAAAGTAGTAGTAACGAGTAAATTAATTATACAAGAATGCCGAGTAGGGTTCACGCTTTTTATATACATGGCTGTCAGTTGAGGCCAGCATTGAAGCCTTTTATTCTTATCTTATATCTTTAGGATTTGCATCAAGATACTCTTAACTTTTACCCAGTTTGAAAATCTAACCTTTCGAGATTTTAAAGATTTTTTTAATGCATATAATCTTCGATACAATCTCAGCTTAATCATTTAAGATTAAGCTGGTGTTAACATATTCACAATAAAAGCACAACTGAGAAACTTGACAAGTAAGCTAAGATACTTTGCATATATTATATTCACAAAAAGAGCATTCCAATTAACTTTTTCCACAATACATAATGTTTCACATACAACAACTCAAATTCAAACTCAAACAAAGCCCTTAAATATATTCCTTATCTTTAATTTCTACCAAAGACTTGTTTGCCAGGATTTATCTTCCAATAGAAAACAACAAAAGAATCAAATTGTTCTTGTCCTCAAGAGTTTTTGGGAATACTTAATCAACAAAACCTAGTGTTGGAGCTAAGACAGAGGAAGATGTGGGGGTCACAACTTATTGGAAAAGGTGAGATTCCATGTAAGTCGTTTTTCAATCACAAAACATGGAGTTATAAAAATCGTTGAAAATGGATTTGATGAGTGGAAGTGATTGCAAAGAGGTTATGTTGACAACACCCAAAGTGGAAGTAGAGATTAAAGTTAAAGTGTCTTCGGTTGCTGAGATGGAGAAGCAAAATACAAAGAGGTTTAATAATTTGAATGAGTGTGGATGTAAAAATTGCCATGATCATAATACTTGGTGCAGCGTCGAAGAATCTGATATATTTGCGCTTGGTGCAGCTTTGGAGGCTTTTTGATTTTGATGCAAAATTATGCTATGAGTATATAAACTAACATCAACTAATTCACGTATCATTGTATTGAACATTGTTTTTGACAAAATTATAATGGATTTTGATCTTATCTGATCAGACTTGGACCGTTACGACTGGTTCTGGGTAGAATTTGAGTGAGATGGGGGTACCTGCAAGGCACTCCGATGCTAAAATGAGTGACGGAATGAGCAGGCAAAAAGTGTATGTATGCGTAAGAGATGAATACCTGACCCTATAGGAACAGAGGATATTTATAGCCCCCAGCGCGGGGCCAAGGTCCCCTCATTGGGCCGACCAGAACTGGCCCAATAAGGGAACTGCCAGGTTCTACGTGTGTAGTGGGGACCCGCACGTGGTCCCCTTCCTGGTGATGCTCTGCGAGAAATGAGGAGGGACGAAGACGCGGTCTTTTCGGAGTTTAGATGATTCGATAACGGTCAGAGAGGACAGAATCTGCCCTACGAGGAGAGTGCTCGAGCAGAGCTCGAGCCAGAGTTCCCGTGGTCGGGGACACCATGTGTCGCGGGCAACGGCAGGAACGGCTGCAGTATGTGGTCGGGCACGCTGGCGGGAATCTGCGGCGCGCGTTCCTCGAGGAGCTGCTTGGATTGGGCCTTTGTCCCTGCTTTTGGGCCAGGGCGGGCCCAGTCCAGAACAGGAGCCCTCCAAGTCGTGGCTCCTAGGGCAGGAGTTATGACTTGACTTCAGCTCGCCTTTGCCACGGGGTCTGATGCCCGGCCCAGGATATTGTTTCCTCGTGCGCGCTCGAGGAGTTTCTCGCGAGTTACGTTCGCAGCGTAATCCTCGTCGACGCGTGCTCGGGGGATTCCTTGCGGGCTGTGTTTGTTGGGTACACAAGGAAATCCTTGGGAACCGTGACGCCACCCTAGCGACAGTAGGGCCATCATTTCCTAGGGGAGTAGACGTCGAGGAGGGGAAGTTCGTGGCTCCCCGGGGCGACGTTTCGTATTCCACGTCATCCCTATAAATAGGATCCTTGGGTCTCATAATTTATTTTTCTTCTTCGCGCTTCTCCTTCTTCCTCTGCTTTTGCCGCCGCTGTTCTTCTACAACTTCGCAAGATTACCGCATCTTCCTCCATCGATTTCTTTTACCGCTGCCGTACATTCTTCTTTGCTTCCAAGTAAGCGTTTATCCCTCTTATTTTTCTTTGTTGTAGGTAGTTTTCCCGTTATTTGGATGTTGGAAACCTATATATGGGATTAGTGCCCGGTATATTCATGTTTGTGCCCGGTAAACTCATAGCTTTAGGTATGTGACTCACGATGTTGCCCGGGACCTTCATGGTTTTAGGCGCATAATCTATGATACTGCCCGGTAAACCCATAGTTCTAGGCTTAGGATTCATGATATTGCTCGTCACATTCATAGTTTAGGTCGGCGCACCCATGAGCTGGCCGGGATATTGACCCATTAGGAAGTATGTGGGACAACTCGTCGTGGCATCTTAGCGTCGGGGAGGCGAAACCAGGATCTTGTTCGAGTCCTTAATGTTTTATCGCGTGCGGTGTTCACGCTATCCTCTTGTTATTCCCGACGTCTGGTCGAGCGTGTCTGGCTTGTCGTGCACTACTTCCCGTCAGTTATGGCGAGCCTGTGGATTTGCTCTCGAATTTCACCGGTTTCCTGGGCTTTGTAGGTAAATGGATGATGAACCGGAGTCTTCGAGGCGTAATGAGGTTGAGGACCAAAGTGCCGAGGAGAATGTAACTCTAGTTGATACCGTCGATGATCCTTCGTTGGATTGGGTGGGTGCCGAGCCTCGAGGGATTGCCTCGGGGTATTATCGGCGTAGTCGGCGCGCATACACTATCGTCGAACACGGCATTAGTCAGCCGGGTTTCCAGAAGAATTTTATTGTGACGAGGTCGTCCCTCGATGCACGAATCTGCTCGGAGTTCTCCGAGTATGGGTTTCCAATGTATGAAATCGCGTTCAAGGATCTCGGCCTTAAGCTCCCTTTCAGTGATTTCCAAGTCGGGGTATTCTGCCATCTGGACTTGGCCCCCTCGCAGCTTCACCCTAATTTGATCGCCTTTCTTCGGGCGTTCGAGCTGACATGCCGCTTCTTGAGGATCGGGGCGACCATTCCTCTTTTCTTCAGATTTTTTCACTTGCGGCGCCAGTCTCGAGGAGGCAGGCATAGTTGAGTTTCCCTGAAACAGTCGAAGAGGCTATTCAGGATGTACATGGATTTGGTCTGGGGCTTCAAGGACAAATGGTACGTCCTGCAGCCGGTCACGCAGACTGCTTTGGATTCTATGTATGAAGAGGAAACCACAGTGGTCGACGAGAACGGGGAGCCTCTTATGGACGCTGAGGGTCGCCCGGTGGTGGGGCGTGTATCCAAGTTCCCGTTGCATTGGTGCTCGCGCCACTACGAGCATGGTATCGGGCACTACCATACGCCCACGGGAGGAATGAGTGCCAAGGATGAGGAAGCCTATGGTACCCTTTGCAAGTATGTCGACAGCTTCTTCCCTGCCCGGTGGATCATGAGGGAGGGGGAAGACATTCTTGACGAGGAAGGTTACCCGACATTCGAGGCCCGTCCTATCGATACCAAGGCGCTTGTCGAGTGTCAATCCTACGGGGAGTCCGTAGATCTACTAGGTTGCTTTTGTCTTATAGTTTTGTTCCAGCTTCTTTGTTTGTTACTTGCTCGTAACTAACCCGAGTTTTCTTCTTTGCAGGCGATATGACTGAACAAAGGGAGAGGCTTTTAAAACTGTCTCAGGACAAGAGAGTAAACAGAAGGTTGGTGCGAGCTCCGTAGGCCACGAGGATGGGCCCGCCGACCAGTTCAGGCGATGCTTCTAGCGGGTCCCCGGGCTCCCCTGACGTCGAGCAGCCCACTGAGTTGATAACGAGAAAGAGAAGCCGGGCAGATAACCAGTCGGAAGTTGGCGACGAGTCTGACACGGTGAGGGCCTTCGGCTTGCCCCCCTGTTTTAAAGAGGAAGGTTTCTTCGAGGGGTTTCCCTTGACAGTGAGCACCGAGGAGGCTGAGACCATCAGGCGGCTCAACAAAGAGAGTCGGAGAAAACACCTGGCCGCCAGTATGGTCGGGATGGTTAAGATGGCCGAGATGACCGTTGTCCTTGCTGAGGAGGGTTCGGACTCCTCGGATCGCGTCAGGGAGATGGAGTTGGAGAAAGTTTCCCTCGATGCCGGCTCCCGTAAGTTGAAGGCTGCTCTCGAGTGATCTGAGGAGATGTTTCGCGAACAAGTCGACCTACTGGCGACGGAGAAGGAAAATTCGGGGAAGGTTGCTGAGGAGAGGGATTGTTTTCGACTGGATATGGAACGCTTGGAGGCTGACAACGAGCGTCTGTCTAAGGAAGTCGAGGAGCTGAAAGCTGCCATGCTTCCTGCTGAAGATGAGTCGGAGGATACAACCCCTTTGCGGAGCCGTTCCGATCTGGTCGCGTGCATCCATCTCCTTGAAACAGACTGTGTCGGTGCCTTAGTGAACGGTTTTGAAGCCGCGGTTAGCCAGCTCGCCTTATTGAATCCGAGCATGAATACCGAGGGAGTGGGTTTCATGCCTCAGATCATTGATGGCCAGGTCGTGCCTCCTCCTGAGTCTCTTGCTGTGGATGCTGGTAGTCCCTGGGAAGTCTAGTCGTGGAATTTCCGGTCGGGCATGCACGCCCATTTATTGGTATTTGTTTTGGGGCCTGCGTTCCCGTGCATATTTTTGGGGCCTGCGTGCCCGTACACATTTCTTTTGGCCGTTGTGCCATAGCCTGTAATTTCCAAACATCGATGGCCTTTTCGGTCGGTTTATTTTTATTCGCTTTTTGCTTATGAGTTTTTAAATGGATGTTCATTTCGACCTTTAAACTTGCTCGTGTCTAAGTTTTTATATTGTGATGAAATTTGTCTAAGTTATGTCCTCGAGTCACGCTTGTGCTCGGCTGTTACTTTGTGGAGAAATTTGCCTAAGTTGTGTCCTCGGGCCACGCTTGTGCTTGGCTGTTACTTTGTGGCAAAATTTGCCTAAGTTGTGTCCTCGGGCCACGCTTGTGCTCGGCTGTTACTTTGTGGCGAAATTTGCCTAAGTTATGTCCTCGAGTGGAGATTCTTTCGATCCATTTGGTGGCCCGACACACTTTGAAATGCGTCGTTCGTGCGGAGTAAAGCCCGCTTGCTCGGGCGTATGACCCAGATCGAGGTCGTATGCCCGTGGCATGAACTGCCCATCGCGGGCTGGGTGTTCTGCCATGTGGGTACTTTGACAGTGGAGCTCGATTGAGGTGTCCCTGTCGGGCACCGTCGTTTGTCCTCGTTTGGCTAAACGGTGTTATGTCGTTTGGGCGTAGATTGGGCTCGTACCTTGGCCTATCTACGTGGTCGAGACATTTCTCTCCGTTGACTAGATGTGGATGTTCGACGACGAGAGTCCTTAGTGTTTAAGGGTTTTTTAACTATAGTATTGCTTTAGTTTAGCAGCGCTCCAGGATCGTGGCAATGGTTCTCCGTCTAGCTGCTCGAGGTAGTATGCCCTGGTACCTGTGGCGCCGTGGACGCGGTAAGGCCCTTCCCAGTTTGCGGCCAATTTCCCTTCGCGGGAGTCTTTTTGGTTTCTTCGTAATACCAGGCTGCCGATCTTGAATTCGCGTTTGATGACCTTGTCGTTGTGACGCAGGGCCACTCGTTGTTTTAGAGTGGCCTCGCGCAGAGCTACCCCCGATCAAATTTCCTCAACCAAGTCGAGTTCGTCCCTGAGTGCTTCGTCGTTCATTTCTTCGTCGAGGGGCGTTTCTGTCCGCCTGGAGGGTTCCCTGATTTCTACTGGGATGACGACTTCGGTGCCGTATGTTAGTCGAAAGGGGGTTTCGCCCGTCGTTGAATGGGCTGTGGTGCGATACGCCCACAAAACGTTGTGCAGCTCCTCGACCCACCCTCTTTTAGCTTCTCCGAGCCGGCGTTTCAGTCCTCGGAGGATGACTCTGTTA